CGTCTCCCTTACTCCCCTCGTGGCTCTCGTCTCCCTTTACTTCCCTCGTGGCTCTCGTCTCCCTTTACTTCCCCTCGTGGCTCTCGTCTCCCTTTACTTCCCCTCGTGGCTCTCGTCTCCCCTTACTTCCCCTCGTGGCTCTCGTCTCCCTTTACTTCCCCTCGTGGCTCTCGTCTCCCCTTTACTTCCCCTCGTGGCTCTCGTCTCCCTTACTTCCCCTCGTGGCTCTCGTCTCCCCTTTACTTCCCTCGTGGCTCTCGTCTCCCTTTACTTCCCCTCGTGGCTTTTCGTCTCCCTTTACTTCCCCTCGTGGCTCTCGTCTCCCTTTACTTCCCCTCGTGGCTCTCGTCTCCCCTTACCTCCCCTCGTGGCTCTCGTCTCCCCTTACTTCCCCTCGTGGCTCTCGTCTCCCTTTACTTCCCTCGTGGCTCTCGTCTCCCTTACTCCCCTCGTGGCTCTCGTTCTCCTTTACTTCCCCTCGTGGCTCTCGTCTCCCTTTACTTCCCTCGTGGCTCTCGTCCCCCCTTACTCTCCCCTCGTGGCTCTCGTCTCCCCTTTCCCTCGTGGCTCTCGTCTCCCCTTTACTTCCCCTCGTGGCTCTCGTCTCCCTTACTTCCCCTCGTGGCTCTCGTCTCCCTTTAATTCCCTCGTGGCTCTCGTCTCCCTTTAATTCCCTCGTGGCTCTCGTCTCCCCTTACCTCCCCTCGTGGCTCTCGTCTCCCTTACTTCCCCTCGTGGCTCTCGTCTCCCTTTACTTCCCCTCGTGGCTCTCGTCTCCCATTCCCTTCCCCTCGTGGCTCTCGTCTCCCTTACTTCCCCTCGTGGCTCTCGTCTCCCTTTACTTCCCTCGTGGCTCTCGTCTCCCTTTTACTTCCCCTCGTGGCTCTCGTCTCCCTTACTCCCTCGTGGCTCTCGTCTCCCTTACCTCCCTCGTGGCTCTCGTCTCCCTTTACTTCCCCTCGTGGCTCTCGTCTCCCCTTACCTCCCTCGGGCCTCGCCCCCTTACCTCCCCTCGTGGCTCTCGTCTCCCCTTACCTCCCCTCGTGGCTCTCGTCTCCCCTTACTTCCCCTCGTGGCTCTCGTCTCCCCTTACTTCCCCTCGTGGCTCTCGTCTACCTTACTTCCCCCGTGGCTCGTCTCCCCTTACCTCCCTCGTGGCTCTCGTCTCCCCCTTACTTCCCTCGTGGCTCTCGTCTCCCTTACCTTCTCTCGTGGCTCTCGTCTCCCCTTACCTCCTCTCGTGGCTCTCGTCTCCCCTTACCTCCCCTCGTGGCTCTCGTGTCCCTTACCTCCCTCGTGGCTCTCGTCTCCCTTACCTCCCCTCGTGGCTCTCGTCTCCCTTACCTCCCTCGTGGCTCTCGTCTCCCCTTACTTCCCCTCGTGGCTCTCGTCTCCCCTTACCTTCTCTCGTGGCTCTCGTCTCCCCTTACCTCCTCTCGTGGCTCTCGTCTCACCTTACCTCCCCTCGTGGCTCTCGTCTCCCTTTACCTTCCCTCGTGGCTCTCGTCTCCCCTTACCTCCTCTCGTGGCTCCCGTCTCCCCTTACCTCCTCTCGTCTCCCCTTACCTCCCCTCGTGGCTCTCGTCTCTCCTTATCTCCTCTCGTGGCTCTCGTCTCCCCTTACTTCCCCTTGTGGCTCGCGTCTCCCCTTACCTCCCCTCGTGGCTCTCGTCTCCCCTTACCTCCCCTCGTGGCTCTCGTCTCCCCTTACTTCCCCTCGTGGCTCTCGTCTCCCCTTACCTCACCTCGTGGATCTCATCTCCCCTTACCTCCTCTCGTGGCTCTCGTCTCCCCTTACCTCCCCTCGTGGATCTCGTCTCCCCTTACCTCCCCTGTGGCTCTCGTCTCCCCTTACCTCCCCTCGTGGCTCTCGTCTCCCCTTACCTCCCCTCGTGGCTCTCGTCTCCCCTAACCTCCCCTCGTGGCTCTCGTCTCCCCTTACCTCCCCTCGTGGCTCTCGTCTCCCCTTACCTCCCTTGTGGTTCTCGTCTCTACTCACCTCCCCTCGTGGCTCTCGTCTCCCCTTACCTCCCCTCGTGGCCCTCGTCTCCCCTTACCTCCCCTCGTGGCTCTCGTCTCTCCTTACCTCCCCTCGTGGCTCTCGTCTCTCCTCACCTCCCCTTGTGGTTCTCGTCCCCCCTTACCTCCCCTCGTGGCTTTCGTCTCCCTTACCTCCCTCGTGGCTCTCGTCTCCCCTTACCTCCCTCGTGGCTCTCGTCTCCCCTTACCTCCACTCGTGGCTCTCGTCTCCCTTACCTCCCCTCGTGGCTCTCGTCTCCCCTTACCTCCCCTCGTGGCTCTCGTCTCCCCTTACTTCCCCTCGTGGCTCTCGTCTCCCCTTACCTCCCCTCGTGGCTCTCGTCTCCCCTTACTCCTCTCGTGGCTCTCGTCTCCCCTTTAAACCTCCCTCGTAGCTCTCGTCTCCCTTTACCTTCCCTCGTGGCTCTCGTCTCCCCTTACCTCCTCTTGTGGCTCCCGTCTCCCTTACCTCCTCTCGTCCCCCCTTTTACCTCCCTCGTGGCTCTCGTCTCCCCTTTATTCCCTCGTGGCTCTCATCTCCCCTTACCACCTCGTGGATCTCATCTCCCCTTACCTCCTCTCGTGGTTCTCGTCTCCCCTTACCTCCCCTCGTGGCTCTCGTCTCCCCTTACCTCCCCTCGTGGCTCTCGTCTCCTCTTACCTACCCTCGTGGCTTTCGTCTCCCCTTACCTCCTCTCGTGGCTCTCGTCTCCCCTTACCTCCCCTCGTGGCTCTCGTCTCCCCTTACCTCCCCTCGTGGCTCTCGTCTCCCCTTACCTCCCCTCGTGGCTCTCGTCTCCCCTTACCTCCCCTCGTGGCTCTCGTCTCCCCTTACTTCCCCTCGTGGCTCTCGTCTCCCCTTACCTCCCCTCGTGGCTCTCGTCTCCCCTTACCTCCCCTCGTGGCTCTCGTCTCCCCTTACCTCCTCTCGTGGCTCCCGTCTCCCCTTACCTCCTCTCGTCTCCCCTTACCTCCCCTCGTGGCTCTCGTCTCTCCTTATCTCCTCTCGTGGCTCTCGTCTCCCCTTACTTCCCCTTGTGGCTCGCGTCTCCCCTTACCTCCCCTCGTGGCTCTCGTCTCCCCTTACCTCCCTCGTGGCTCTCGTCTCCCCTTACTTCCCTCGTGGCTCTCATCTCCCTTACCTCACCTCGTGGATCTCATCTCCCCTTACCTCCTCTCGTGGTTTCGTCTCCCCTTACCTCCCCTCGTGGATCTCGTCTCCCTTACCTCCCCTCGTGGCTCTCGTCTCCCCTTACCTCCCCTCGTGGCTCTCGTCTCCCCTTACCTCCTCTTGTGGCTCCCGTCTCCCCTTACCTCCTCTCGTCTCCCCTTACCTCCCCTCGTGGCTCTCGTCTCTCCTTATCTCCTCTCGTGGCTTCTGTCTCCCCTTACTTCCCCTTGTGGCTCGCGTCTCCCCTTACCTCCCCTCGTGGCTCTCGTCTCCCCTTACCTCCCCTCGTGGCTCTCGTCTCCCCTTACTTCCCCTCGTGGCTCTCATCTCCCCTTACCTCACCTCGTGGATCTCATCTCCCCTTACCTCCTCTCGTGGTTCTCGTCTCCCCTTACCTCCCCTCGTGGATCTCGTCTCCCCTTACCTCCCCTCGTGGCTCTCGTCTCCTCTTACCTACCCTCGTGGCTTTCGTCTCCCCTTACCTCCCCTCGTGGCTCTCGTCTCCCCTTACCTCCCCTCGTGGCTCTCGTCTCCCCTTACCTCCCCTCGTGGCTCTCGTCTCCCCTTACCTCCCCTCGTGGCTCTCGTCTCCCCTTACCTCCCCTCGTGGCCCTCGTCTCCCCTTACTTCCCCTCGTGGCTCTCGTCTCCCCTTACTTCCCCTGGTGGCTCTCGTCTCCCCTGACTTCCCCTCGTGGCTCTCGTCTCTCCTTACCTCCCCTCGTGGCTCTCGTCTCCCCTTACCTCCCCTCGTGGCTCTCGTCTCCTTCCCTCCCCTCGTGGCTCTCGTCTCCCTTACCTCCCCTCGTGGCTCTCGTCTCCCCTTACCTTCTCTCGTGGCTCTCGTCTCCCCTTACCTCCCCTCGTGGCTCTCGTCTCCCTTTACCTCCCTTCGTATCTCTTGTCTCCCCTTACCTTCCCTCGTGTTTCTTGTCTTCCCCTACCTCCTCTTGTGTTTCCTGTCTCCCCTTATCTCTCCTCGTGTCTCTTGTCTCCCCTTACCTCCTCTCGTGTCTCTTGTCTCCCCTTACTTCCCCTCGCAGCTCTGTCTCCTCTTACCTCCCTTCGTGTCTCTCGTCTCCCCTTACCTTCCCTCCTGTCTCGTCTCCCCTTACTTCCCCTCGCAGATGTGTCTCCTCTTACCTCGCCTCGTGGCTCTTGGCTCCCCTTCCCCTCGTGGCTCTCGTCTCCCCTTACCTTCCCCTCGTGGCTCTCGTCTCCCCTTACCTTCCCTCGTGGCTCTCGTCTCCCCTTACCTTCCCCTCGTGGCTTTTCGTCTCCTTACCTTCCCCTCGTGGCTCTCGTCTCCCCTTACCTTCCTCGTGGCTCTCGTCTCCCCTTCCCTTTCCCCCTCGTGGCTCTCGTCTCCCCTTACCTCCCCTCGTGGCTCTCGTCTCCCCTTACCTTCCCCTCGTGGCTCTCGTCTCCTTACCTCCCCTCGTGGCTCTCGTCTCCCTTACCTTCCCCTCGTGGCTCTCGTCTCCCCTTACCTTCCCTCGTGGCTCTCGTTCCCCCTTACCTTCCCTCGTGGCTCTCGTCTCCCCTTACCTTCCCTCGTGGCTCTCGTCTCCCCTTACCTTCCCTCGTGGCTCTCGTCTCCCCTTACCTTCCCTCGTGGCTCTCGTCTCCCCTTACCTTCCTCGTGGCTCTCGTCTCCCCTTACCTTCCCTCGTGGCTCTCGTCTCCCCTTACCTTCCCTCGTGGCTCTCGTCTCCCCTTACCTTCCCTCGTGGCTCTCTCTCCCCCACAAATTCTACCTCCAGATATACTTCAGAGAGAAAGAGAGAGATACACAAGCATCTATTACATACCTTCCTGATAGCTTGTTTAGTTGATGTTTGTTTCCCCACTCCTGAAACACATAAGAAAAAGAATCAATATTTATACATAAATGTACAATGTACATACATACATACACATATGACACAATGGAGTGACACTCCACTGTGTCATGGCCCTACGCTTTATGCCTCTACCTTGCCTCAGAGAGAATTTTCCCCTACTATCTGTTATTTATTGATTCTGCAGCATTTCATAGCTCCTGTTCTAATGCTATATTTATGTTGTTTTAATCTTAGTTCGAGACGTTTACCAGTTTGACCGTAATAAGATTCATAAGAACATAAGAAAGGAGGAACACTGCAGCAGGCCTGTTGGCCCATACTAGGCACGTCCTTCACAATCCGTCCCACTAACAAAACATATGCCCAATCCAATTTTCAGTGTCACCCAAGAAATAAGCTCTGATAACTCTATCCATTCTCATATGCAAGTCCCACTACAATGCAACTCCTCTCACTTATGTATTTATCCAACGTAAATTTGAAACTACCCAGGGTTTTAGCCTCAATAACCCAACTAGGTACACTGTTCCACTCATCAACTACCCTATTTCCAATCCAATACTTATCTATATCCTTTCTAAATCTAAACTTGTCTAATTTGAATTAGTAATAGGCAAAATGAGGTGGACATTGGAAAGCCAGTGGCACTAGGTGACAAGGACAGTAATAGGTTTAGTGGAATAACAGAAAGGAGCAGGAAGGGTAAAGAGAAAGGAGGGTCCTTAAATACATATTACACAAATAGTCGTAGTGCTAGGAATAAGATGGACGAGTTGAGACTAGTTGCTAGTGCAGGTAACATTGATGTATTTGCCTTAACTGAGACGTGGTTCAATACGAAAAATCGAGACATGCCTGCTGAATGTCACATACAGGGTTTTAAATTGTTCCAAGTAGACAGAAGTATCGGGAAGGGGGGTGGGGTGGCACTGTATATCCGAGATCCCTTGAACTGTTGCATAAAAACGGGTATTAAGTCTGAAGTAACACATACAGAGTCTGTTTGGATAGAATTTTCAGAGGAACATAAAAAATTGATTTTAGGTGTGATATACCGTCCCCCAAACTTAGATAGGGACCAGGGGAGACTACTATGGGAGGAAATTGTTAAGGCCACAAGGCACGATAACGTAGTAATTCTAAGAGACTTTAACTTGAGTCATATTGATTGGAATTTCTTGACTGGGAATTTAGAATCAAACGACTTCTTAGAAGTAGTTCAGGATTGTTTTTTGAAGCAGTTTGTGACAGAGCCTACAAGGGGAAATAACCTGCTTGACTTGGTTTTGGCAAACAAGGAAACCCTTGTTAATAATTTAGAAATTACAGAGGAACTCGGCACAAGTGATCACAAATCAATTGCCTTTAGCACTGAATGGAAGTATGATAGTAGGGATAATTCAGTACTGGTCCCAGATTTTCGCTTAGCAGATTACAATGGGCTTAGAGAACACTTATCATCTGTAGACTGGGGTAACGAAGAGACCTATCAGTATCACAGCTTTCTTAACACAATACATGCTGCCCAAAGGACATTTATCCCATATAAGGAAATTAGATCGAATAAACCATACCCCCGGCCGGGATTGAACCCGCGGTCATAGAGTCTCAAAACTCCAGCCCGTCGCGCTAGCCACTAGACCAGCTAGCCACAATAAGATTCATCCAACTAGGTATATTTCTACACCATAGGAAAGTTAGCACAGGCACCTCTGTGACCACAAATGCAAGTTTTTACAGACGAATCTCCAGCTAGCGTGGCCGTGACGAACTCTAGCTCAAGTCCCTTCACTGCCGTCAACATGACTTAAGAAATCGTAATGACACGATTGCAAATAAACCATACCCCCGGCCGGGATTGAACCCGCGGTCATAGAGTCTCAAAACTCCAGCCCGTCGCGCTAGCCACTAGACCAGCTAGCCACAATAAGATTCATCCAACTAGGTATATTTCTACACCATAGGAAAGTTAGCACAGGCACCTCTGTGACCACAAATGCAAGTTTTTACAGACGAATCTCCAGCTAGCGTGGCCGTGACGAACTCTAGCTCAAGTCCCTTCACTGCCGTCAACATGACTTAAGAAATCGTAATGACACGATTGCAAATAAACCATACCCCCGGCCGGGATTGAACCCGCGGTCATAGAGTGTCATTACGATTTCTTAAGTCATGTTGACGGCAGTGAAGGGACTTGAGCTAGAGTTCGTCACGGCCACGCTAGCTGGAGATTCGTCTGTAAAAACTTGCATTTGTGGTCACAGAGGTGCCTGTGCTAACTTTCCTATGGTGTAGAAATATACCTAGTTGGATGAATCTTATTGTGGCTAGCTGGTCTAGTGGCTAGCGCGACGGGCTGGAGTTTTGAGACTCTATGACCGCGGGTTCAATCCCGGCCGGGGGTATGGTTTATTTGCAATCGTGTCATTACGATTTCTTAAGTCATGTTGACGGCAGTGAAGGGACTTGAGCTAGAGTTCGTCACGGCCACGCTAGCTGGAGATTCGTCTGTAAAAACTTGCATTTGTGGTCACAGAGGTGCCTGTGCTAACTTTCCTATGGTGTAGAAATATACCTAGTTGGATGAATCTTATTGTGGCTAGCTGGTCTAGTGGCTAGCGCGACGGGCTGGAGTTTTGAGACTCTATGACCGCGGGTTCAATCCCGGCCGGGGGTATGGTTTATTTGCAATCGTGTCATTACGATTTCTTAAGTCATGTTAGATCGAATAGAAATGACCCCAAATGGATGAATAATAGGCTCAGATATCTTTTAGGACAGAAAAAAGGAATTTACAGGAGCATAAAAAGAGGTGAGGGTCATCTTATGAATCGGTATATTGACATTAAGAGGGACGTTAGAAAGGGGATAAGAAAAGCTAAACGGGACTATGAAATTAAAGTTTCTAGGGATTCGAAAACTAACCCAAAAAGTTTTTTTCCAGGTTTACAGAACAAAAGTTAGAAATAAGATAGGTCCCCTTAAAAATAAATCTGGGCATCTCACTGACAAGGAGAATGAAATGTGCTCTATTCTTAATAATTATTTTCTCTCGGTTTTCACTCAGGAACACACTAACAATATCCCAGTAATTAATTTTTATAGTGGGCCTGATGATAAATTATGCAATAGCACAGTCACTACAGAATTGGTTATCAAACAGATAGACCGGTTAAAGCAAAATAAATCCTCGGGCCCTGATGAACTTTTTTCAAGGGTTCTTAAAGAGTGTAAAATGGAACTTTGTGAACCATTAACTAATATTTTTAATTTATCTCTTCAAATAGGTGTAGTGTCTGATATGTGGAAGATGGCTAATGTAATTCCTATTTTTAAAGCAGGGGACAAGTCGTTACAGTCAAATTACCGCCCAATAAGCCTAACCTCAATTGTAGGCATATTGCTAGAGTCAATTATAGCTGATAATATAAGAAACCATTTCGATAAGCACAGTTTGATTAATGATACACAACATGGATTCACGAGGGGCCGTTCCTGCCTAACTAATTTATTAACCTTCTTCAGTAAAGCTTTTGAGGCCGTTGATCATGATAAAGAATTCGATATTGTTTATTTAGATTTTAGTAAGGCTTTTGATAGAGTACCACACCAGAGACTGTTAAAAAAAGTGGCAGCTCATGGCATTGGGGGAAAAGTGCTCTCATGGATCGAGTCATGGCTCGCTAATAGGAAGAAGAGAGTGTTTAAATGGGGTTAAATCCGAGTGGGGATCTGTAACAAGTGGCGTACCACAGGGATCAGTCTTAGACCCGTTGTTGTTTATAATATATATGAATGACCTTGATGAGGGTATTACTAGTGATATGAGCACATTCGCCGATGACACAAAGATAGGTAGGATGATTGATTCAAACGTGGATGTTAGGGAACTTCAGGAGGATTTAGACAAACTCTACTCTTGGTCAGAAAAGTGGCAGATGCAGTTCAATGTAGATAAATGCAAGGTTCTGAAGCTGTGGAGTGTCATAACCCTAGCACTTATAAGTTAAATAATGTAGAACTTAGCCATACAGATTGCGAAAAGGACTTGGGGGTTATGGTGAGCAGCAACCCTAAACCAAGACAGCAGTGCCTAAGCGTACGTAATAAGGCAAATAGATTATTGGGATTTATATCAAGAAGTGTAAGCAACAGAAATCCAGAGGTTATACTGCAGCTTTATACATCATTAGTAAGGCCTCACCTAGATTATGCAGCTCAGTTCTGGTCTCCATATTACAGAATGGACATAAATTCGTTATTAAACATTCAGCCAGAACGACTAAATTAATACATAGCATTAGAAATCTTCCTTATGAAGAAAGATTGAAGACTCTTAAATTACATTCACTTGTTAGACGAAGAATGAGGGGAGACATGATCGAAGTGTATAAGTGGAAGATGTGCAAGAAAGGTATAAAATGCCGACAATATGAAAGTTAAGACACAAGTGCAACATCTGGATATTTTTATTGTAGACGTTTCACCATCCAGTGGCTTTATCAATACAGATTCTAGGACATAATTGGAAGACAGTAGAACTATATATAAAAGATGAGGTAATCAGTCCCTCAGCCTTGAAGTTAGTGTTCACAGCATCGTGGTGGTGGAGAATCTGGAGCAAAGGCAAGAAGACTGGCGGTTATATAGGCGTCAGTGGGTAGGGACGTGTAGCAGACGAGGGCATAGTCACTGGTAGGCGGGAATCCCCAGTGGAAGTAGGTCCTACCCAAAGGGATGGGTTAGTTGTAGCAGCCGTGAAGAAGGTCTTGTAGATGTCCTCTGAACCAAGATTCCATGATGTTGCACAGTCTGACAAGTTGTGCAAGAAAGGTATAAAATACCGACAATATGAAAGTTAAGACAAGTGTGCAACATGTGTCTTAAGTTTTGAAAATAATATGAATATTTCCTTTGGTTTATATAAATTAGATCCATTTATAATTAATAAAATTTGGGAAGAATTTAATAATACATTGGACAAATAATAAATCTTAATTCTTGGGTA